TGAGTTATTCATGGTAACAACAATGGAACAAGTGAGGTCAGCTGGTGACGCCTGGGGAAGACCGAGTTACCTCTCTTCTTCACATTTGTGTTTTTCCTTCATTTTCATCTCTCGGACGGCCTGTCTGTTGGCTCACGGGAAAGGTTCCATCTTCAGAGTCCCGTGGAGACAGGACCCACATGCCTGCGGACGAAAGTTTTGGGGAGAAGGATTATGGAGGCCTCGGGTCCACGTGTGGAAATCGTCATTTTTCTGGGAAAATACCAGCTGGCTTGGGAAGGAGCCACGGAGGTGAGAGAGCAGCTGCGTCTGCAAACCCTGCGAGGCGGCTCCCTCTGCCCCGGCGCGCCCGGTGCCTGGCTGGCTGGGCAGATGACCCGGCCTCCTGCCTCCAGGGGTCATCCGGACTCCAACCTCCCGGCCTGTCCCAAGAAGGGCCCTCCAACCCCCACGTCCACCCTTGACCCCCCCATTCATTCCATCACCAGGGAGGTGTGGAATCCCTCGTCCCAGCTCCTCCCCACGGGAGGGGGTCTCCTCAGCTGCAAAACAAATCAGGAATTGGTTCTCACTCAGTTCTGGGGCCCAGAAATCCGAAATCAAGATAGGGTGGGACTTGGCTCCCTCGGGCGGCTCGGGAGGCCCCTTCCTGCGTCTCCCAGCTTTGGGCGGCGTCCGTCCCCACCTCCTGGGGGCCTCCCCTGGGTTCCTTTCCCCTCTGACAAGAACCCATGTTGCCTGGGCAACCCGGATGGTCCCCTCTCAGAACCCCACTCGGCCACGTCTGCAAAGGCCCTTTCTCTTTTTCTTCTTTTGAGATGGATTATCACACTTGTCGCCCAGGCTGGAGCGCAGCGGCGCCATCCCGGCTCACCGCCATTCTGCCTCCCAGGTTCAAGCGATTCTCCTGCCTCAGCCTCCCGAGTAGCTGGGATTCCAGGTATGCGCCACCACACCCGGCTAATTTTTTATTTTTAGTAGAGATGGAGTCCGTTCGCCATGTTGTTCAGGCTGGTCTTGAACTCCTGACCTCAGGTGATCCACCCACCTCAGCCTTCCAAAGCGCTGGGATTGCAGGCATGAGTCGCCATGCCTGGCCTCGTAAAGGCCCTTTTTCTTTTTCTTTTCTTTTTTTTTTTTTGAGACAGT